GAGACTCACATTGATTTGTTAAATTTGTCAATAAGAGAGTCACTTAACTCTAAAATAAACATTTTTGATAAAATGATAAAACAAAATTCAGTCGATTGCATAAACCTTTAAGTTGTATAAATTAAAAATTTGTATAAATAAAAATGAAGTTTGTGTTTTTTAATCTGCATAACTTAATTATTTCATTAACAAGGTTGTTGCAAAGTTTCCCCAACAAAAAAAGACTATATAATTGGTAGAGGTAAATTTTTCATTATTTATTAGATACCAGCAATTTTTGGTATTAAGTTACTTCAAACTGGAGTAGATAGTTTATAAGAAAATAAAAGTTAACTGAAAAATAAAAATCCTATAATCAACTAGAAGTATTAAAAAAAATAATTTAAAATTGACATAAATAAACTGTTTATAAAGACACCATTTTTTTAAAAATTCTAAAAAAAAGCTCCATTAACAAAAAGGAAATGTAAACAAAGTTTAAACTTTCCAACCAAATTAATTTTTTCTGCATTAATTCAAAGTTTTCTAGCACCTAAGATATTTTTTTTTTTAAAAGCAAAAATATCTGAAGTGTTTTTTTGTTAAGTATCTATCTAAAGCCAAATATGTTGCTGCATTAAAAAAAAATTGTTTATGTTTTATTTACACAATTTTGTTTAATTCAGTTTTTCTGGATATCCAAAGAGTTTTCCATTTATGCAAGTTAATAAATTTGTGTAATATAATTGACTAATACAAAAATTAGGAAAAAATTAAGAAACAACTCAGCTGAAAGCAAAGTTAAGAGGAAAATAAGGGGAAAAATATTTCTAATTTTTTCCAGATAATTTACACAAACAATTTTCCGGATTTTTAAAATATGACCTGAATGATCTATGCTAATTACCCTGTTTTTATGTAAAACTACCCTTTTTTACAGGACCCAAACATATGGAAACTTTTAAAAGTTAAAAAATTAGGTTGTTTACATTTTATTTTCTAAAAATAATGGACTGAAAAATGTATTTTACCTAGAAAAATTGTTTTTAAAATTTTAATTATTAGGACTTAGGCCAATTAATGTTTCATAGAGAATTATATAAAAAATTAAAATTAAAATAAGATAAAATCAAGTTGAATCCAGAGAATTACTTCCAACTTTTATTATAGTTTTATGGTTCAATTAAGGTACTACCGTTTGAAGTAATTGATTTTTTTAAAAGATTTAAAAATTGCTGGTGGCTATTATTATTATGCAACTTTTTTTGATAAGCAGTTATACAAATTAAGATGTATAAATTAATTGTTAGATTTTATAAATATTTGTACTAACAAAGACCTATTAAAATAAAGTATATATACTTTGTTATAATAAATAGTAGAAAATTTATTACAAAAAATAGTAGAAAAAGTAATTATGATATATCATAATTACTTTTTCTACTATTTTTTGTTATTGTTTTCTTAGTGAGTTCTAACAGAAAGAAACTATTTGTGGGAAAAACAGTAAAAATAAACGAATAATAAATCTCACTTTATTTGATACTTTAAAATTTATTTAAAATAAAAAATAGTTTCAAAATTAAATATTTTTTTATTTTAGGTATTCAAAAAATGACTAAAGAAAAAATAGAGGAGATTGCTTCTTCTCACTTACTTAAATCTATATTTTCTGGTCAGGTACAATACCAATAGATTTTAGTTTATTATTATATATTTAAAAAAAAAATTGATTATTAATAAAATCATCTGTTCTTTTACATATTTATGCTCAAAGCAATCAAAGCTTAATCAAATGAAATCAAAGCTGTTTAAAAAAGAAATCGTAAAAAAAAAGTATATAACATAAAAAACTGTTTAAGGGTTTGAATGATTAGATTGTTGAATTTAATAGCCTTTGTTGAAGGGCTATTAAATTCAACAATCTAATCTAAAACATATTTTTCTTCTAAAAATTAGGTAATTGGCAGAATATTATCTACTGTGACAAATAAAAATTTTGGACTTAGCAAATATTTTATTTATTGGGGTTCTAGCTATTGAGCATTTATTATGAGATAGTGCTAGCAAGGGTTCAACTGGAATTTGAATTTTTTGGTGTTTATGTATATATATATATATGTATATATATATATATATATATATATATATATATATATATATATATATATATATATATATATAATATATATATATATATATATATATATACTCTTGCATGGTAGTCACAAAGTTTTTCCGATAAACTGTAATTTTAAAGAGCGCATTAATAAGCCTGACCAGAAAATGTTAAAAAACTTCAAAAAGATTTTTTTTTTTTTAAATATATATTATATTCAGTGAACTCCTGATTACTCGAACCTTCACAGGACCAAAAAATTAGTTCGAACTTTTAAAGATAAGTGAAATTAATTTTAGTTATCTTAAATGATAAGTAAAATACCTCATATAATATAACATCTACTAATGACTCTCTGTCTTAGTTTTGAAATTTTTAATATATTTTTTTATTTATATTAAGAAAATTGAAAAATTTTATTTTTATAAATAAATAATAATAACTTTAAATAAGATTTTATTTTAATTTTTTTTCTTCTCAAGTTCGGGTTACCAATAAAACATCAGCCACGGGGACAAATAAAATTCTTCAACTTAAGGAATGTTTGAGTTTGGTTTAGGGGTTCGAGATATTGGGATTTTACTGTATGTATGTATATATATATATATATATATATATATATATATATATATATATATATATATATATATATATATATATATATATATATATATATATATATATATATATAGTATATATATATATATATATATATATATATATATATATATATATATATATATATATATATATATATATATATATATATATATAGAGAGAGAGAGAGAGAGAGAGAGAGAGAGAGAGGTAAATTTGAAAAATTAACATTTCAGTGTAATGACTTTTAGGTTTACAGTTAGAGGTGCAATTTATTTTATTCAGGAAAAGAAAATAAAAAATATGCCTATTTGCCAAGGTTTAGGGCATGTCAAGAATTCAAGTATTATCTAGTTGATATAGTTTTTATGAATTTTATATATATATATATATATATATATATATATATATATATATATATATATATATATATATATATATATATATATATATATATATATATATATATATATATATATATACTTTTTTTAGTTCGTTGTTATTTTAGTTTGACTTATTTATTATTTTTTTAAGTATATTTGTTTTTATTTTTTAAAGTTGTTTCTATACTGCTTTGATTTATTGTTAGGCTGAAGTTTTAATAATGACTTATATTTCTGGTAGGTAATTTATTATTTTTCCAAGATAGTTTTAATTAAGTTTGCCTGTAATAGGATGGTTACAAAAAAATATAGTTAAGCAGTAGCATGGTTTTTATTTTTGTTTAACTGAATGTAACTCGAGTCTAAATAATGTCTAAATAAAGCGGTTAAATAACCAAAATATTATTTTTCAGAGAAAACTGGTTTAAACTATAAAAGTTGTTTACACATTATCTGTGAAAGTGCTTTGAAATCTTTATTTTTTGTTTCAAATCTTTCTAAAATGTTTATATTTGCTATATTTTATCCAAGGAATCAAGAATCGTCAGAGGGAGATGAATGTGATAAATCATCTGGTAATCTAAGTTTAAATAATCAATTTATTGCTTTAGTCAATTTATAAATTAGTAAACTTATTCCTTTTTTTTAAAGACTGTTAAGTATGTGTTTTATAAAATAATTATAAATTGTAAGTTTAATTTTAAAATTATAAATTCTAAAATGTAATTTTATATTGTTTGTTTAAGCTGTTTTGTATTGATTTGTTTATTGTTTGTTATTTATTTTAGACTGCGGTAAGTCTATTACAGAAAATGTAATAGAAAGGCTAAAAAGATCTCAAATAGCTAGTATGTTTTCTCCATACTTGTTTTATTTGAAAAATAATTATATTTATATATTTAGTAATAATTAACTATAATAACAAATCAATAGTATATCACTGTCATTATTAAAATTTATGAAAACTAACAATTACTTATATTATACGTATGATATTGTCAGGTCAGGTCATCCTGCTACCGTTAACATGAAATTCAGTACAACATGTTTCATTTAACGTCATGGAGGGCATCCATTGGTAAAATATTGCTTTTACTCTTTCATAATGTTATATAAATGGCGCTGTAGAGAACTATCCAAACCATACTAGTGTTGTAACATGGATGAAAAACTTTAAATATATATATATATGTTATTTATAACAGTTCCTGCTATTTTTTTAAATTGTTTATCTCAACTAATTAAATCTAATTTCATTTTATGTTTTCTTTCTTTTTGATTTTGTGTTATAATATTTTAGAACATGAGCGTTTACAAAGATGGTCAAATCAAGAAACTGTGAGTGTTAAAAAAGAATGTGTTACAGTTGAAAAAGAAGATAATTTGTTTTACTTACTTTTTTGCTTATTCAGACATAAGTAATGAAAAGTAATTAGATATTATCTAATTATTACTGAAAAAATAAGTATTTTTAATAAAGTTATTTTTATTGAAAATTCAATATTATTTAAAAAATTTAAATTTTTATAATAACATTTTATATTTTATATATCTTTTTTGAATGGATACTCACAAGGGTGAGTTTTCAAATTGTTTTTATTTTTCATACTACTGGTTCTCAACCCTTTAACTGCAAAATTTGACTTACGTGTGTGAAACGGAAGTGAAAATTACATATTTACAATATACTATTTTATATAATATAATATATATTTATACATACATATAAGAGACCACAATTTTTGTCTGAAAAGAAGCTAAGTTGTGTATTAATTTTAAAATTTTTTTGTTTTAATTAAAAAAAATTATTATAAAAACATATTTGTTCAAAAGGTCTTTAAAGTTAAAGCAAAAAAAATCTAATGATCTTTTAATATCTTTTTGACATTTTTTTAAAATATTTTTTTAAACAGGTTTGTATAGAATTAGATGAAGAAATTTATTTTGACATTGAAGTTAATAATGATATCGATAAAGGGCCTATTTCTCGAAAAGAAAATGTAATGAGTGTTAAAAATAAACATGAAGTGAGTTATGTTATTTTAATCTGTCATCTCTGGTTAATTATGGTTAAATTAATATTTTAATTTGAATTGATATCTTTTGAGTTAAATTTGATTTTTTTCTTATCTGTTATTTTTACACTGCTTGAAATAAATTATTAAAATAAAACAATGCATAAAAGTATATTATTTATGCAATATGATAATATTAAAAAAAAATAATATCAATATAATAATTACATTTTTTATAAAAAGGTTTGTTCAGAATTGGATGAAAGCATTCGTTGTGAAGTTGAAGAATATAAAGTTATACATGTTGATAATAAGAATGAGGTAAATGTTTTACTATATAAGGTTATATAATAATATAAAAAAAAACAATATTTATATAATGATTACATATTATTTTTTTTAACAGGTTTGTTCAGTATTGGATGAAAGCATTCGTTGTGAAGTTGAAGAATATAAAGTTATACATGTTGATAATAATGATGAAGTAAATGTTTTACTATATATTTTTTATATTCAATGTCTTTTGCTTTGCAATTTTGCGGTTTGGGTAGGTTTTCCAAAACATAAAGTGTCTAAATTGATGCACAAATTTCAACAAATTTCCAAAAAATATTTTTATTAAAAACATATATATAAAAAAACTAAACATTATAACGATAAGAAATAAATGTTTAGAATTTTTTTAACCTATTTTATTAACAAAAAGGCCTAATTCGATTTCTTAACATGGTTATTAAGTAGATATACAATAAGTGCATATTAAATTGTCTTGCAGAGCAAGATAATTTTTCTATATAACTTGAATTTTGCCATTTATGGCCTATTTTGTAAGCTGGGCTTTATACATTTTTATATTTGTATTTTTCTGCTTTTTAATGATTGCTACTAGCTTTTGTCTACTTGAAAATATATTTTTAAGACATTATTTAAATCTTTTTCAAATATATACAATAATAAAATTTATTTGTTAAGGGAAAATTGTCAGTAACAAGAGCATTAAATCGTAGTTTGGATGGGATGGAACTAAATGTAATTTTATTTTTATTTACTTATATTTATTTTTTGCACTACTCAGCCTGCACACTACGTTTAGCCAATATCAGAATAACATTGGAATCATTGGGCATAACTTGTGCAGATGTTGGTTCAACGTATTGTATATTGCTATAGTGTAGTGATTGCTGGGTATTGACTATTTTAGCTTGTGGAAATCTAAATCTATAAATTACATTTTTGGTTTTTATTGAAGTTGCTCAATAAATTCACCTATTCAAACTTTTTTTCTTTCCTTTTTGACCCAAATGTGGTTTATATAAACTTTAAGTTATGTTGAAAATTTGCATTTGTGAACTCTCTGGTTCTTTTTTTAAGGTAGAAATATTTTTTATATAATTTAAACATTTTAGGAACATTTAAGCAATATGACCAAAGTGTATAAACGGTTTGGAAAAACGTTTTTATTTGTCATTAAAAAATATTTGTTTCATTAAAAAGTACCTCTTCTTATGGAGAACATTCCAGGGTTGGAAAAAACCCAGGGTTTTTTAAAAAAACCCAACCCAAATGGGTTTTTTTTGGGTTTTATTGGGTTTTTTTGGGTTTTATGGGTTTTTTTGGGTTTTTTTAAAAATCGATCAAAATACCAAATTTTTATAATTGTATGAGTACAATAATTTTTTTTTTTAATTTCATAAATTCACCTCCCTATTGCTCCAATGACCATTTCAGTCAAGGGAGCAACTCATTTTTTAAAAATATTTTGTCTCAATCCTTAACATTACCATTTTTACTAACAAACAACATTAACAACTAAAATTTTTAAACAAAGGCGCTGTGTGGAGAAATAGATTGAGACAGTAATTTCAGCAGAAGTAATTTGAACCCCAACCTTCTGGTTGCGAGCCAAATGTTTTACTACTAGTCTACTAGCACATTTTACCTATAGTGCAAAAAGGGACTCCATCAACTATAAATGATGTTAATTAATTGCTCTAAATTAAAAACATGTTCAGAACATCTTTGACAAAAAAAAAATCTGTGTAAAAATTATGACAATTGAGTTATTCAAAGTTGGTAAGACAATATAAATGTTGCTAACTAGTTTTTTTTACTAACATGTTCAAAAACTACTTTGCACAAGTTTACAACATGTAATCAACAAGTTTGCAACATGATGTTGCAACCTTATAAGTTATTATCAATCAGGATGACTATGAACACTTTTTAAACATTTTTGTATCATAGAAGAAAACTGCTAGCCTAATCACTACATTTTTTTTTATCAGAACATTATACTGTCTAGCTTCTTGGAAAAGTTATCGGCCTGATCAACTGGACTGGCAAAAAATGGATTTTTGCCTAAACTTTGTTTCTAAATATATATAAAGTAAATTTGTAAAGAACCATTACAGTGTCTTCGCCACTAAGTTTTTTTTTTCCTTGAAGATGTTTTACTGGCTCAGTTTTGCAATGCAAATTGCAAACTGAATCAAAGTAACACATTATATAGCTCTATTGTGTGTGTTTCTTCACCTTTTAGCAACTTGATACTGATGTTAATTTTCAACCCGCTGTTCATAACCACCCCTGTTGGTGGTACATGTTGTAAACTTGTAGCTGATGCAAAATGTTCAAAACCTGTTAAATATTCAAAAGACAGATGAGCACGAGTGTCATTTTTACCAACAAATCTTGTCTTTGTGAAATGCATACAAGTTTTCAACATGTTCTCTCATTGAATGAGCAAACATGCTGCAAGCTTGCTTGCACATAACTTAATTTTTTTTTAAGTTTTAAAGTTGTATGCACTGAAGGACAAATCTAGTAAACTGTAGCATTTTTTTTTGCCTGACAACTTTCCATTTCTAAACTGTAAATAAAGTTTAATTTTTATATATAGTATTTTGCTTGTGGCTTTGTATTTTTTTTTTTTTTTTTGCAGTTAACAACATAAGCTTTAAAAAATAAAAAATCAAATACCAATATAAAAGAATACAGACATTCGAGAGGAGAATAAAGATACTAAATAACTAGTAATGTCTTGAAATTTAGTTAATAGAATGATTTTTATTTCCTTTATAAGTATTTAACTAATTTAATGTTTTAGTACATATTTCAATAACATTTATAATAACTTGCTAAATGTTATTATAATAACATTTAGCAAGTTATTATAAATGTTATTTCAAAAAAAAAATAAATAACCAACTTGCTACAAAAACAGATTGATCGATTTTGGGTATATCCTAAAGACCATTATGTATATAAATACAGTGTTTACAAGAGTAATTACAGTATAAAGGTTGCACTTGGTGATAATAAAGCATTTATAAGTGTTAAAATCAGAGTTATCAGTTGTAAAATAGGTCATTTTTAAAAAAACCCAAATATATTTTGGGTTTTTTTGGGTTTTATTGGGTTTTTTTAAGGTGGGTTTTTTTGGGTTTTTTTGGGTTGGGTTTTTTTGCCAACCCTGGAACATTCATAACTAATTTGATTTATATTGGTTGTATTGAGATAATATAGACAGTTGATACTACATGGATAATCGAAGCTATATGGACAGTTCCATAATCAGACAATAACATTAAAATATTTTTGCAAAAATATATTTATTTTTATAACAACATTTTGAATGATTACTGATTTTATGATGTTCTGTTAATCTTCTTTTTTTAATTTAGTCTCCAAAGAATAAAGAATTGAACAATGATATTCACAGGTTGACATCAAGAACAATTAAAATACTTATAAACACATTTACATAAATTTTATTGTATATAATATGTTTACATAAATTTTATTTTTACAATAACATTTGTTGTTTAGCAGAGTTGCAATGTATGAAAATGAGCAAATGAAAATGGGAAGTATGTTAACAGGATTTATGAAAGTTGGTTTAGTTTCTGAGGCTGAAAAGGTATGTTTTTGTTTTTGTTTTTTTTTAAAAATTTAATTAAGTTTTACATTGAATTAAACAGAATTTTTTTATGCTGTTCAATTCTAAATTTTGTTATTAATATGGTAGAGTCCTGGTTATTTGAACCTCAACAGGGGATAAAAATTTAAATTGCTGAAATTCAATATAACTGAATACATGAGTCTTTTAAAGAAGGTTCAAGGGGAATGAAAATTACTTTGAATAACCAAAAACTTCAAATAAGTGATTCTTCGAATGCAGAGATTCTACTTTATATTATTTTACTTTGATTTCTTTTAAGAAGACTTATTTAAGCAGAGTTTTGTATTTTTGTTATTACAGTTGTTCCAACAATGGAAGAGTAATATAAAGAGTGAAAAATGCAATGATTCCAAAGAGTCAAAAAAGTATGTCCGTCAAAAGGTTAGGTGCACAGAAGAAGACTGCGATGCATACATAATTGATCTTCCCAGACATCTAAGAAATATACATATTATTGATCCTGAAACAGCAAGGAAAGCAAGAAATTTTTTTTGATCTAAGAAAAACAAGATCTGTAGATGAAGGTGAAAAATCTAAAAATAAAACAAAATACAGATGTCCTATTTGTAGCATTGCTACAAAAAATATACATGATCATCTTTATAAATCTCCGCATTATCTTAAAAATAATTTGCCTAAATATAGAGAGATGCTCAGCAAAAAGCAACTTTATATTGAAAGTAAACAATTTACAGTTTCACTATCACAAACAAAAAAACAATCTGAATTGATTGATATTAAGTCTGCTTTACCAAATTCAACCAGGTCAGGATTGATGAAAACATTGCCAAATGAAGTCTGTTTTAAATCTTCTTGCTTGTCAAATGAACATAATAGTAATCCTTGCACTGATGGATTAAATGCAGATGACTATATTTGCAATGATTTTGATGAAGCAAATAATACAATTAAAAAAGGAGAAAATAACCATATTTGTTTTCAAGATTATCTGCATACGTTTCTTCTTTATTTAAAAGGTCCGTCTGGAGGAAAGAAAGATCCCCAAGCTGCATTAAATGAAATGCATCAAATTAGAACAATAGTAGAAGTAATTTCACCTAACTCTCTAATGCTACACAATTTGACTACTATATGTTACACAAGTCTTTTAGACCTTAAACTGCTACAAGAGAAATGGTTTCCCTATGCTAAACAAAAAGGTTATGAACCAGGTACTCAACATTCTTATTTGTTATCATTGAGTCACTTTATCAATTTTCTCCTTCGCTCTAAACTAACTCCAACTGTTCCTAATGTTGTTCCTTGTATTCTGACTGCTGACGTTCTTAATGTTTGTCAGAAGGAAATTAGCAATTGGAGAACATCATTGCGTGGTGAAGAAACACTAAGAGAATACGATGTTATTATGGAAGATACAGATAATAAACGTTCTTAAATGTTGTTCCTTGTATTCTAACTGCTGACGTTCTTAATGTTTGTCAGAAGGAAATTAGCAATTGGAGAACATCATTGCGTGGCGAAGAAACACTAAGAGAATACGATGTTATGATGGAAGATACAGATAATATAATTACAAAGGAATCTTTTCAAGCTATAACTAACAGTGATTTTTATCAGGAAATTGTAAAAAACGTTAATTTAATTTATATTAATTACAAAAACAGTCCATCAGAATTTCTAGTTACTCGAACACTGTTGACCAATATCAGAGACTGCATTTTCTTTGGTTTAATAAGCAACAATATTTCTCGTTCGGGAGCTGTTTCCAGCATGATTACTGCAGAATTTCGAAAAGAATCTTTTTCACCTACAGGAAGTTTTATAATTTTAGTGAAAAAACATAAAACAGCCAAACAATATGGCCCATGTCAAATTATATTGAACCATGATCTAAAATTTATGTGTGATTGTTATGATCAAATAATACGCAGTGCGATTCCTGGTAAAATGTCAGAAAACTTTTTTATTACATGGTCTGGTTGTGCCTTTGAATCTGGTGGAGTTTCAACCCAATTAAACTCTTTTTTTTGAAATGTTTACCGAATGAAGATTCAATTGAAAAGCGATGCAGTGCAACAATGATTCGGAAAAGTTTGCTGACTTATTTTTATGATAACCATCCTGAATTTAAAAGTAAGCTAGCAACCCTTATGAAACATAAGAAAACAACAGCCAAAAGGTGGTATTACCTAAATAAAAACAAACAAGACTCGTGTGAAGCATCTGAAAAAGTTACAGAAACTTTATTTGGCAACATCAAAGTTTCAACTGGCAACATCAAAGAATCTAAATCACAAGGTCTATTTTTACAAACTGATATTGAAAAAAAGGTTTTAAATTCCGTAGAAAACCCTGAACTTTTGCAACTATTATTTTCTGAACCCAGTGAAAGTGAGAGTGACGAGGAATATAACTTTCAACCTACTTCATATTCAATACAGCCAAAAAAATCTTGGACAACGGATGAAATTAATGAGCTGCATAAATTGTTTAACATTTCTGATACTATAAGATTGACTCAGCCTTT